CCCCCCCCCCCCTGTTTTTAGCGTTTCCAATTCCGTCGATCCGCAAGAAGGCTACTCTATTTTTGAGTGAGATTTTCCGAGCTGGATCTGGGAATTGAAAATTTCAATTTTTCAGCTGGAATTTTTCAAACCCTAAGAAACCGCCTCAGTGCCCCGGAATGTCGCAACTTGATTTTTTTCTCCCTGGAGCCAGGCAAGACAGGGTTCAGAACGAGATGATACCGACACAGTTTTTTTCGAGGATTCCAAAAATAAATGTGCTTCTATATGTACCTTTTCTTCACAGAGGTGGTGGGGGCTCGGCAAATCGTAATTTCTTGGTTCCGCCGCGTTTTCGCGAAAACGGTATGTTGAACATAACTCGTCACCACGGTGTCGGTGAAAACTAAAAGCAAGTTCATTTGAAAGCCCTCATCCGTAGCGTTCGAATGGTATGCATTTTGTTGGATGAATACCCTGGGTCCAGCGAAAAATTAATCAAGATGCTTGAAATCGGGTGCTTGAAAATTACCACCTCATGTATCGCACCCAGGCGACCCCTAAGGTGTAACACCAGCGGAAACGCGGCACTTGCAGCAGTCAGTAAACCGAACACAGAATTTTCGCGACGCCGCCACACCGCCGTGGTACGATGCCCGCAGTAACAGCACCGAGGCGCAAGCGGCAAGATTTGCGAACAACGTGGACACTACCGCAGATGATGACACGATGACACGAGAAACGTACCGAACCCTTGGACTGCCTGTTTCAATTACTTCTCCAAACAAAGCAGAAAAGAGTGGCGGTGCCGAACAGGGCGGGCGCGCGTCGGAACCGTCTCGTCGAGATCTGTCGGAAGAGGCATCGTTTGAGTTATGCGCCCTTTTTGTCGTGGCAGTGTTGCAATGATGGAGCTGTGGATATCGATCCAGGGGATGTTATATCTTACGTCAATAGCACATGCGGAGACTCTTCAAGTTTGTCTGCTGCTGCTGCTCTGCATCACACCGCCGGGAGGGTTTTCTGAGCAGTTTTGCGCTACAACAGCAGCAGCCTACATGTCCATTCGCTGGCGGTTGCGGGAATCGATACGAAAGCGCTCCTTCATCTCTTGATGCTGTTTCTATCCAAATGTGCACAGGTGGCACAGCAGCAGCAGCTTTTGCCCGTTTGAACGTAGCTGGGTCGACTCGTTTTTTTAGTGCAAGTTGTACCCCAGCCTGAGCAGATCAAAAAGTCGCTCATTTGCAAGAACGAACACGAAAAACTTCCACCTTTTCTTTGCACACAACAGATTGCACAACACGAATCGCACAGAAAGACTGCCCAAAATAAACCCAAACACATCACCTTCTTCGCCCTGCCTGGAGCAACAACAGCCTTGCCTTCCTCAGATGAACCATCATTCCGACCGCCTGCTGCTGCTGCTGACATGACCATGTTGCTCATGGGCAGAACATTACAGCATTCTGCTGCAGTGCGGCGTCTGCACGGCCGGGCGGCCGCAGGACTGGAGGAGTGCGCGGAGAAGAAGGCCGCCGGGTGCGTCGCAGAGCGGAGCGCCGTTGGGCGGACTGCTGCTGAGAAGGCGCTCGCCGGGCGGAAGGTGAAGCCGACAGCAAGTAGCAGCGTGGAGGCAACAACTGCAACTTCTTTGCGTTTGAAAAAAATCATCCGCTTGGCTCGATCGATTCTTCCTCTCCCAAAGGCTGTTGGCTTACTCACTGGCTGGACCGTCAAGACGTTGACTAAAGAAGATCTCTTAGGATTACGTTGTCAACAACGCGTAGGCAGCCGGTACGTGCCTCCTACTGCTGTCGTGTGCTGTGTGTTCGCCCGAAGAGGCAACAGAGATGAGATCTTGGCTCAGGGCCAGGTAATGCTAAGCGGGGATGTATTATAAAAATTTCGCGCGAAGCGCGAAAAATATTGGAGAGGCGTTTTCCCGGTCGGGCTGTTTTTTGGCTATTTTTGTCCACTCCCCCGATCCACTGCTGTTTTGGGCATATGTCCTTGAAATGTGAGCCGATTTCGAAACGGTTTCTTGCACTGCATTCCCAGGCACGTCCAGCATACCGTCCAACTTAATATTATTGTTGAAAGACGGCAGATGGTGCCGGAAAAAACTATGGCCGTGTGTGTATTGCTATTTTGTTTGAGTCATCTAGCTGCTGACACGATGACTGTGTTGGATCTTGGGAGTGTTGTTGTTGTTGTTGTTGACTTCACATTAAACCGTATGCCAGTTGCTAAATGCCAAAATCTATTAGCAAAGACTCTCAGCCCGTGGTCACGAAAGTGCTAGAGCCATCTGAGGATCTAAAGAACACGCACACGTAGCAAGAAAAAGGTATCCAAGAGCCCGAAGAGGTACTACTACACCTATATATAATCCCTGCAGCACCGTACGCGTGCCCAAAACTGAACTACACGTCCGTCTCACCGTTCGACTACAGCAACATCACCCCCTAC